GCCGTAACTAAACGTGACTCTGTCACGTTGGAATCGATCACAGGAATTTGACTTGGCAGACTGCACTTGAAAAAACAAAAGACAAACCTAGGACTAAATAAACAAACAATGAATAACCATTCGCTGCAACAATTATGTACAGGATGTACTTACTGAAACGCTCTGACTAATTTAACCCACAAAAAGTAAGCAACTTGTATGCGTGTGGCGTTGACTCACCAGAAAACTGACAAAACTAGCACCGAAGCTCATGAGAGGACTGTGGTTCCTGTGGGGCCAAAAAAAACAAAACAAAAACATCAATGAATCACAGAACCGCATTCCATTTTGCCTCGACTTGACACAATCAACAGTGTTTAACACTGATTTACAGAGGGACACGACATATGACTTTCCAAGGGAACTAGGGACACACATGAAGGTTGCGTCGTGATCGTACGCGGGCATGTGGCGCAATTACTACTGCTGTCTCGTTTTTATTTGATAGATTTAAGCCCAAGAGGTGGTATTTGTAAAAATATTTGGATATTTTCTGGTCACCATTAACCACGAAAAACAAGGGATGACTGTACTTAAAAATATATACCCAGAATGCTACTTTTTTCAGCTTTTAGGATCTTGGGAGAATATAAATGGTAGAGACGTGTCGATCGTATTTTTATGCACCTAAGTCTGAGTAAGAGTTATTTCTTTTTAAGTATCTGCCGACACCAAGTCTCGATCCGATACCATGGCAATGCATTACGAAGGGAAAAAAGTGCTTGTCTTAATTGGCTTAATTTATGAAGAAAGAAAAAAAAAGCTATCCCAACATGACTTTTTGTATGACTGTAAGTCAGTAGTGTTTCAAATTTAAAAAAAAAAACACTCTCGACTTTAGAAATTAAGACAATTTACAAATCTGATCTTTTGCAGCCAACGCTGATCAGCTGAAAATCATGAGATTGGCCCTGATTTCTGATCGCATGATTGGATCAAGACAAGTCTAATAAGTACCGGTAACCGGAAAGCTAATAAGGAACATTAAATTGCCGGTCCTGCATTTCCTGAAATAGTGACCTATGCCCCAGTTACTTGCTTTGTGTGTCATTCACTTCAAGGTAAAAACCACCCACACACCTCGGGTTGAGGGGCAAAAAAAAAAAACAATAATACTATGAGAAAAAAAAAAAGCCTTAAGCTAGTTTTTTAAATACTAACTCTGAACGAGCACAACAGCAGACACACACATGTGGAATACAGTTTCCTCAGATGCACTAAATGAATTCATTTAAAAATGCTTGGCTGCTCACGTACGGCAAAGCATGCAACGAGAAAAAGCAGACAAGATGATTATTGTGTGGATACGGATGTTTTGGCAGTCACGGGGCTGTTTGAACATCATCAGTTCAACGCTGGTGTGTGAACATTCGCTGGAGGCTCTTTGAACAAAACAAACGTGTCTTCTTGTGACCTGTCAGATGGCGCTGCGACAGACGAGCCTGACAGTGATGGCGAGCTATGAAGTCAGGAACTGAATGTTGCAAAGGAACTGGTGAATAAGGGGAAATTATAATACGGTTACACGGGGCGGATGACTTCTTTTGCAAGGAGACAAGCGCAACAAGCAGACACCTGAAGCGCAGGGAGCCTTTTGAAAAGTCCACTCCAAAAGTATTGGAACGGCTGTTCTTTAGGCTTTCAGATCAACAGATGCATCTGAGAAAAAAGTTGAGAAGTGCAGCTTTTATTTCATGGTATTTAAAATCGAGATGCAGAGCACCTTTTGTTTGAAGCTACCCACTTGTCAAGTGAGCAAAAGTATTGGAACGTGACCGGTGGGTGTTTCTAGTAGCTCAAATGTTGTCTTTTAGATTGATTGCTTAAACATTAGATAGTGCTTGTTTTTGGCTTTGGGTTTTACCTGTGAAAACAGCATTTGCTGCTAAGCAAACATGAAGACCAGACAGCTGTCTACGGGAAAACTATTTTGAAGCTGAGATCAGAGCTGTTGAACAAACTGTGGGCAAAGCCAATACAACAATTCATCTTGCGAACATCAAGCGGCCAAACTCAGAAATCAGATGAGCCGTGATGGGTCGTTATCAGACCTTTTTTCTGCTTCATTCATATTCCACAAACACAATGTTAATCAGAATGCCTTGTTTAGCAGGGCTGTCCTGATCCGTTAGTGATATTGGATATTGATCTAATATCAGTCAGAACACCCCTAGTGTCAGATTATTGTGGAGGGGGAGGGCATATCACATATTGTAAAAATATAATTTTAACTTGGCTTCCCCTTTAAAGAGCTTAAAAAAGTTAAAAGAGCCGTAAATGTGATAACATTAATAATAATTACAATATTGACAAGAACAACAATAATAGTGTATTTCTATATCGTGGATTTGACTTATTGGGGTTGTGTTCTGGAACATAAAGTCCCCGAGAGGGATTTACTGTACCTGCTTATTCAAGATTTTATTTTATTTTTTATTTTATGTTTTTAAATGCAGTTGTAATCGGTGTCAATTATTCTTCGCTATTCATCGGCCGCGCCAGTCTCTGTCCACTGTACTGTAACAGACAATTGTCAGACACTAGTTACACAAGCAAAGGTAACATCTCGACGTACTCATCTTGTAAGCGGTGTCATCTACAGGCAGGAAACGTAACGAAAAATGCAACACGTAACACAACAACGGAAGCAGGCAGTGACTTGAATGGATACGGCTGGCATCGTGGCAACAGACGCTCACCTGTACGCTCTGAAAAGCTTGTCGCTCTCCTTGAAGCCATTATTCAGAAGCATGTTGATGCCTTTCAGCGCCAGCTCGGCGTCGTCGAAAGGCTCCCTTTCGTCGTCTTCCACGGCGGCTTCCGTCGGAGCCGCCATTGAAGTTGGCCAACACCGGGTCTGCTGTGGCGCTAGGCCGAGTGTGGCTGCGAGAGGCTGCTTGCTTGGATTGCGGCGGCAAGGCAGGGCTGCGCGCGCGCTGTCTGCTCACTTTACTTCCAGGCAATACAATCTCAGCCAGTGGCGCAGTTCCGAGCAGACGTGTCCATGTCGATTTTGTACGACTACTGCCTTGTCAGTAAACAGTTATCGGTCTCTGGTGACGTTAAGATGCCGCTTTCAGTCGCCTCTGACCGGGTCGACGGTCGACACTCAGCGCAGCTGCCGGTTTGTGTTCCAGTCAGTGGCAGTGCAGGAAGTGTGGTGCCTTGACGTATTGTTGGAATTTGGACAACTACGGTAGCATTTGTGGTGATCCCTATTGACTGTACGTAAAGTAACCTTGATTATACGACGTCACATCTTTTACTCACTGATGAACATCGGAGGATATACAAAGTATGAAGCACATATAGAAATGTACAATAAAAGAATACTTGGCGTGCACTTTGATTACTCTCATTATTACGTGCAAGCTTTTAAATGTACCATCCGAGTGGGCGTGGTTTTGGTTGGAAGACGTCACTCAAGACGTGCTTGTTTAATACAATGATTCCCTCCCAAACAACGTGAAATTATACGATGAGGAATAAAAAAATAAATTATAAATTGTACAGGAGCGCAGTCTGCATATAATTGACGCACATTATAAATGCAGTGAAATGTGTGCATTAAATTTATTTATAATAAATTACAAAAAAAAGAAAAATAATAAAAAAAAATTAAAAAAAATACGTGAAGAGGTGAATCCATGAAGACTGACACGCGAGTATGGGGTTTCCACTGTATCAATTAAATGCTCTTCCACGATATGGCAGTTAATTAACCTGTTCATCCATGTTTTTGTGTGCCTTGAAGCACACATTTGTTTCATGGGGAAGCATGGAAAGATTCAAAAGTATTGGGTCTAAAATTGAACCTTGGGGAACCCCACATTTAATTTCATGGACTCTGGAGGAACAGGTATCCAAAATTAGAAAGAAACATCTGTCTGTGAGTCTGTTTAATAAAATGTGGTGAACTACCGTATCAAAAGCATTGATTAGATCCAGTAGCAGCAAGACCAAGTGTCTACATTACACCTGGTATCATTTAAAATATTTAAAAGAGCTTTCACTGTACTATGGTTCTTCCTAAAATCAGACTGATATTTCCCGAAAATATTATTTGTATGTAAAAAAATGATTGAATTGGAGAAATATTATGTTTCTCTAAAATGTTACTTAAAAACGGTAAATTGGATACAGGTCTGTACTTCTTTAAAACGCTGGGATCCAAACTGCTTTTCTTTAGAAGGCGTTTCACCACCACCATGTAACAGGTGGCAGGGAAGACACCTGTCTGAAGAGAGCAATTGACTATATTTAAAATCTGTTCCTCAAAGAATCCATCAAATGTTTTTAAAGTGATGTGATAATTGGATCTAAAAGATAGGTTGATGGATTTCCCCGGGAGAAAACTCCACCAAGTGTCCTTGCATCAACCAGGGTTATTAATTTCAGATGAACATAAGAAAGGCACAGAGATTTCAGAAATAATTTATGAAGTAATTTAATTGGCGATATTACAAAATGCTTTACAAACCAGTGGTTACAAAACAGGAATGCAATTTTTAAATTAATCCCAAAAAATCCAATTGTAATGAATTTATTTTCACCTTTTTTTCTCTTTTGCACTCAGATGTAAACACTGTCTGAATCATGCATCAATATCTTTTTGGGGTGTGTATTGTTCCATTTTCAGTCTTCAACTATACTTAACTCAGGACACGCTGTTGTCCACTGTAAACCACATTGAGAACCACTCGGAAGAATGCATGCAAAAGGAATGCATAAAAATGGAAACCGCGGTCATAAATGTGATTTCTTGGCCTTTGTGGGGACCTTAAAAATGCAATAGGGAATCAAACATGCCAAATGGTAGCGAGCACCATCAACTGCAAAGTATTGATGCATACATATTTAGGTCCAATCATTTTCCATCTCCACACACACACACACACACACGCACACGCACACACATATACTGTATATATATATATACATACACATACACATATACTGGTGTGTGTGTGTATATATATATATATATATGTATGTCAGAAATGATCTTAAAGTGCTGTGTTATGTACTGCACTGTACATACATACTCTCCTTTCTGCAACCACCCATCCACAAAAGAAATAAAATAAAAAGTAGATGCATTGATGAGTTGGTGCTGTACATTATTTTAAAATAAATACATCCATACACACACACACCTCACCATATATATACATAGTGACACAAAAACATTCCCTGTCCTCTTGGTAACAGATTGCACATCGTTGTTTGGAGGTGGTCCCAAGTTTTGGCCAAAAAAAAAAATTAATGCTGCAGTTGTGCTTCAGCCTGGACATTCCTTGAGGTTGACAGGCCCGACCACCGAGGGCAATCTGGCGAACATGACAGACTCGCCGTTGATCTTCATGTCCTGGATGCAGCCCACAAAGGACGCGGTGACGGGCGGCGTCCGCAGCAATGATATCTCTTCTGTGTAGAAAGCGGTAAACTCATGTGAAGCATTTCAATTCATCACGGGCTTTTCGTTTAACTGTGTGAAAGAGACCGCATAGGTAAAAGGATTGAAATGTGCTGCGTTGGGCATTGAAACGTGCTGCATTGGACGCTTCCAACTTCGTGGGAACAATTTGAGAAAAGGACTTTTTTTTTTGGTTCCCAGTGCTCAAAAAAGCGAGGTCCAAAAACTCACGTTTTGATGTGTTTGGTGTGGAAATACTTAGAAAAACCCTAACTGACAATACCATCCAATCGTTTGTTTACATTTATGTTACCTGTTAAATAAATTATCATATCGTCACTGTCCTGTAAGAAAACACGTATGTCCCTTTTTCTCATTTTTTAAAATGTTTATGTTAATGGGGTGTCAGACATATGCTGTATGCTTTATCAAACAATCACTTTTCATCCCATGGCATATTTTTTTTTCTAACACTGCTCTGACCTCACAAAAAAAATCCCCCAGATAAACCAGGAGAATGGGAGTTTTTCTACTGTACAAGAGAACTGCAGAACTTCTTCTATCCTACATTCAGGCACACAGATGACCCAATACGTTTGTCCACATTGTGGAAATGCTTTGAAAAGTAGACAGGCACTCACCAGGAGCGCCCCCCACATAGAGGGGATATTTGGTCAGAGTGGCAGTGGAAGATGGCGGTCCGATCTTGTATGTGTCCACTGTGTCCACGTGCAGTTGCACAACATTCTTCCTCTTGATGACTGCAAGATTCGGATGAAAAGTGGTCTATGCACGTAGAAATGTTTATAGGGAATAAATCCAAGTATGGTGAAGATCGCATTTTACCAGAAATTTTATGAAAAGTTCCATCGCAGAGTGTGGTTTTTGGACGTACGGATGCCATGAACTCCCCTTTGCCATTGTTCACTAGGGCCACCACCTGAAAAAAATAAAATAAATACATTTTAAAAAATAAAAAAAATAAAACTTGAAGTTGCAAAAAAACAACAAAATTATTCAACATGTACAGTATTTCATATTTTAAACTCTTTCAATGATAGCCATTAAAAAAAAAAAAAAAAAGCAAATAAAAACCTCCCAAATTGGACAAAACAGGTCCTAGCGCAATGGTTCTTTATCTGGGTTCGATCGAACCCCAGGGGTTCGGTAAGTCGGTCTCAGGGGTTCGACGGAGCCTCTGCCATGGAGGGTAAGACACACGACTCAACATGTTAATTAGTTATGACACGCCCGCTAGGCCATCACTGGCTGCAGATGATCACAT